AGGGCCCTCCCAGCTAGCTTCCTTTACTTGTTGACGTCCTGTCCGCGCTTGCTCGACAAGAAGGCGAAGGGCGTCATGAGTGTGGCATGCAGGCCACCGACCGTGCAGCGCAGCGCAGCGAGAGCGCTACCCCGCGCAGTTCATCCAAGCACGAGTCATGTGCTCGTCAGCCGGATCAAGATGGGCCAATCACTTCCAGACGGTATGGTATCTCCACGCGCACGCACACCCCACGCACATATCCGCTCCAATTTTTTTCTTCTTCTTCTCATTTTTGTGGGGCGGGGGAGAGGAACATGGGATAATGACGGGCGAGAGGAATAGCACGTTGCTTGGATCGGAGAGCGCGAAGCGAGTCGAGGGAAAAGAATCGACGAGTCGAGGCGAGGCGAGCCTCTGCAATACATGCTCAAGCATTCAAGTCAGACGAATGCCATGACAAGAATGATGCTTCGATGCGCTGAGCCATGTGCATGCGAAAAAAGGGCGAAACGTATTGCGGAATGTAAAGCCTGGCTCAATTCAATCAGCATCATGGACGATGGACTGAGCATCGAACCACAAGGCGTACACCGATTCCTCTACCGGTCGAGTCTTGTCCATCGCGCCGCTCTTGGGATAGTTGAGCAGACTGCTCCTCGAAGAGCTCGCGAGCATCTGGCCGCTCGGGTAGACTTGCAGCAGATCCTTCCGTGGCGAGGTGGGTGCAACACTGCGTGCCGTGCCGAGCGCAGAAACGCTCGAATCGATCGTTGCAGAAGCGTTCGAAAAGGATGCGCCGGCTCGGAGCGGTACAGCGGGCACAGTTCCAGTCTCGAGCTTCTGCAACGCTGCCTCTTCCTCATCGACAGCACGCATCGACTCGAGAACGCGACGAGGTGCTTGGGAAGGCGTGCCAATGCTTCCCCTCGCGCCGCCCTGATCGGCGGCGTAGCGATTCGCGCGCATCTTCGCAAGTCACTCGTCCGAATCCGTCATGAACTCATCCTCGTCATCTTCGAACACGGCCATATCCTCAAAGGCCACCTTGTAGCGAAGCAAACCTCCAACGCCTCCAAAACCCTTGCAGAACTGCAAACCCTCTTGAGATCGGTCCGTGACAAACTCCAAGTTGGTTCCGAACTGCGTATAGTTTTCTGCGAGCCACTCCAGCACGCTGAAAAGGGCGTCGAGAAGCATGACCTTGGTCAGCGTGTGCACTCTTCCGCATACAGCGCACTGCCGTATTTCGATGTTCGCACACAGCTCCACTCACGGTTGAGGTTCCTCGGCCTGCTCCATCTCCTGACCAGTCATGCGGTCCTGGAACTTGGTCTTGTCCTCGGCCTGTTCCTTCGTCAGCATCAGAATGTGCTGAGCGCCCTCCGAGTCGCGCAAGGTGTACCTCATCGTGTCCAAATTCTCCCAAAGAATCAGCTGCTCGACAGCGCCCAGCTCGAGCGCCTTGAAAGTGTCCTCGATGCCGAAGCAGTACTTTCCAGTCTCTAGAGCAATCTCTTCAAAGTACTTGGTCAGCAGCTTCTTCTCGTGAATGAAGCGGACGGAGGCGAGAGACTCGGCCGAGAGCTCGATGGCCTGGTTGAAACCATTTTCGCCGCCGTACGAAACGTCGACGGTGCGGATGATCTTGGCTGCCAGTCTGGGGTCAAACAAGTCGGACTGTCCAAGCTCGTTTTTGAACTCGGCGCTACCAGCCAAGACCAATCCCGCGCAGTTGCACTTGTTGTCCGTGATAAAGTGCTGCGTAGCAGCTTCTGCGACCTTTCGCACATAATTGTGCCTCGCTTCGTCACGAAGACGCGAGAAACGCAGCGCGGACTGACCTCCACGTCTGTGCTTCTTGGGCAGATCCACCGAAAACTTGTGAATGACGTTGCGGGTGTTGCCGCTGAGCGTTCCGAACAGACTTCCGTTTCCGTCCATGATGATGAAACCGTACTTGGCATCGCTCTCCAACAACTCGGACAGCGCCTCGGTGTGGAATTTGTTGTCGCAGAGGTACAACGAGGTGTTGATAGCTGTGCAGCGAGCGTGTTCGGGCACACGGTGAGATCTATGCTTCATCAACACTTGCTGCAGCAATCGTTCAGCTCACGCTTGAATGGCTCAAAGCTAAAGTTGACCTTCTTTTCTTTGCCCTCGTCAGTCAAGATGGTGCCGCAGTAGATGACAAGTCCATTTGGAGGCACTGCATGCAGCAAGACGAGACGGCAACAGGTCCAGAGTGTCAGTGAAAACGCCTGGCAGCGCGCACATGCTCTGAAGCTCCCCAGCTCACCCCTGTTGTACAGCTTCAACCTCTGCTGCGTAGAGGTGATGGCAGCCAGCACCGAGAGACGGTTCACACGACTCTTGATGTTGCTTGCCGTTCCGTATTCTTGCGTCAGCATGTTTGAAAATTGACTGATTTGCGACTTGGGGGGAATGATCAGACTGATCATGCTCGTACCTGCTCCGCGAGCAGAGTCTAGTCTGAGTTGGTCGCGAGGGAGGCGATGTGAGTCTGATAGGTGGGCGCATACATGCTGTCGGTGCCAGTCAGCGCGACTCACGACTTGACAAGCTTCTTGATCTTCCACACTGCAATCTGTTGCGGCAAGAAAGATTTGGCAATGACATTCAGCGTCGTTGAAGAGGACGTCGCGCATGCCATCGAGTCAACACCAAGCACATCGCAGCGAGTCAAGGCCAGCTTGGCATGCAAGCTAGCCGAACCAGGGGCCTTCGCCATGCCACCACCCAAGCCGCGAAGCTTGATGAGGTCTGCTGAGACGAGACTCTCTCGCAAAGCCAGACCGGTCACCGGCAAAGCATTCGGTGCGCCGGGGAGCGAACACTGCCACGCTTTCGCCTACGCCAGCCTGCCCCTGTCATGCCAAACATGCCCGTGGTTATGCCAGTCTTGTCTGCGTGTACGCACGTTCTGATCAGCCTCTGTAGCAGGTGCACCGGCGCCCGCAGCGCCGCTGAGCGCCGACATGTTAGCCACGCTGGACATCTTGCTCGAGTGTTGCGTAGTGGTCTGAACGACTTGATGGTGCGTGTTCCTGGTGCGCTCGAGAGGGAGGCGTGTGGGCGTGTATGCTGGTGCGCAACGAGCTTCGCGTCGAGAGCGGGTGCGGGTGCGGATGCGGATGCGGATGGATGAGTGTTGAGAGGAGAAAGGCTTTGGCATGGATGTGGATGACCAACTCGATCACACTCACGACTCACGACTTGGACTTGTGACTCACACTCACACTCGTGACTCGTGACTCGTCACTCACACAAGATACCCATCGACCCCGCCCGTGACTCGTGACTTCACCCTTCGTCTCTCAGATCCTCTCTCCTCCTACCGCCGCCTCGACCTTTTCTTCCTCCTCGCCTCTCGCGCTTTGCTGCTGGCTGGCTGGCTGGCTGGCTGGCTGGCTGCATGGCTGCGCCTGACACGCTCCGCGCGTACGCTGCTTGCATGATCATCCACATCCATCAAATTTTGATCTCGCATGGCGCGGGCGGGCGGGCGCGCCCGTACAACGCAGCAGCAGCAAAAGTCTGCGCCACAATCTTGATCACGTGACTGACCAGAATTTCCAGCTTCTTGCGATGATGATGGATGCGCAACGCAGCGCGCGCGCGCGCTTGGTTGCTGTTGCGAAAAGGTCTCTCTCTCTCTTCTGCGTGTGAAGCTTGTCGTGGGAGTACGGTACATGTATGCGCAGCACTTTACTCTTCACCCTCACTTCGAGTCCTCTTTCGTCACTTCTGACTTTACACAAGCCATTGACGTGAGTCTAGAATCAATCTCACCACCATCGACCGAGGTAGAGTCGCCCCCGCCCCGGAGTAGCAGTACGCAGGCTGACACCAGCTCTGCAACACTCCATCCTTCTCATCAGCTGTGATCCTTAGTCGTGAGGTCTCACCGTCTTCCTCCCCTCCCGCCAGCGCTCCCCACAAGTCCCGCTCCATCCTTTGCAACGCGCTATCACAATGTCTTCCGAGCCCAACCCCAAGGCTTTCCCGCTCGCCGATGCAGCTCTGACCAATCAGATTCTGGATCTGGTTCAACAAGCTTCTCACTACAAGCAGCTCAAAAAGGGAGCCAACGAGGCTACAAAGACGCTCAATCGAGGCATTTCGGAATTTGTAGTCATGACTGCAGATGTTGAGCCGATCGAGATTGTTCTTCACCTGCCTCTGCTGTGCGAGGACAAGGTGAGTGGTCTTGCTGGGATCAGCAGCAGCAGCAGCAGGGAATGTCAAGCTGCACACCCGACTCACGCGCCTCAGCCCCCCCCCCCCCCCCCCCCCCC